ATTCTATTGAGAACTCAAGTCGTATCTAAAAACGCCTTGGTCAACTTAAATATCCTTGGTGTTTTGAGCAGTTCGTGAGAATAATGAAGTTGGTGCATAGTGCTTCTGCTTCTGTGTCTACTTATGAGGTGAGTGTAGACACAAATGAAACCCCGCTGTAAAGTTGAAATTAGGTAGCTTAATGGGAGAAGCTACCACCCTTGACTTAGCGTAGACATCAAGAGGAAAGACATTACAATGGAGAACAGAGCGCTGTTACTATCTACCCCTGGATAAGGTCGATTTTTTTTTTTTTTTCTTTATTGGGGGAGTTGGTGAACCAGAGGGTGAACCGGGTGGATAATGCAACTGACAAAGAAAGCAAGTCAAGGAATTGCAATATTGAGCTCACACTGTGTATATCAGATTTACCGATCCTTGTAATGGAAGGAGCTAATTCGTGGGATAGGGGAAAAATGTAACTTTGGTATCCTGCAAGGTGCAAGAACCATTCAAATGAACAAGACAAATTTTTCCACATTGTTCTATTTTATCGGCGCGAAGATGCTCTTCACAGCTTGTTCATTGATGGGGGTTTGGTGGTATTTATTTGATAACTGACAAGTTGAAGACGATTGCTGATTGACAGACTGCTCATGTCCATTATTTCATAAGTGACAAGTTGAAATATCATCGATGTTAGCCTGTCAGGTTGCATTCAGAAAATCATCATCAAGCTGCCAATTGCATTTTCGCCTCGATTAAAGGGGATAGATGTATTGAGTGACCGCATAGACAAATAAGAGTTTGAATTTCCTTTGTGATACTTTGTCATCCGCAGCAGAATGTCACTGCTACATGTGGAAGGTATAGGTGATTCCCAGTCGGGATTACAATATAGCCACCAATCCACACGCACACATACGCATAGGCACACACACACGCGAACGCATACGCGCGCTTACGCACGCACACACGCGCACGTACGCGCGCACGTACGCACGCACGCACGCGCACGTACACACGCGCACGTACGCACGCAGACACGCGCACGTAGCACGCAGACACGCGCACGTACGCACGCAGACACGCGCACGTACGCCACGCGACACGCGCACGTACGCACGCAGACACGCGCACGTACGCACGCCACGCGTACGCGCACGTACGCAGACACGCGCGCACGCGTTACGCACGCGACACGCACGCACACACGCGCACGTACGCACGCACACACGCGCACGTACGCACGCACACACGCGCACGTACGCACGCACACACGCGCACGTACGCACGCACACACGCGCACGTACGCACGCACACACGCGCGTACGCACGCACACACGCGCACGTACGCACGCACGTACGCACGCACACACGCGCACGTACGCACGCACACGGACACGCACACACACACACGCACACACACACACACGCACACACACACATACACACACAGTAACGCATCCGTCCCCATCCGCTTGGAGTTGCTATTAAGGTGCATCCACACCAGTCACATGTTGCTTGGAGACGAAAAGGGAACACTGTGGGGGACACAGTAGGAGAGATTCGGATACAAATCTCCCGATATACATAGGGACATATATATTACAATGTTGATAGACATGTTGGCAGTAAGAGTCGACTTGGCGAAACTGGCCACTCCATGTTGGATGGTGGGAGGTCTCTGACATCACCTCGTCCACTCCAGGATTGCTAACAAGTCGCCCAACAAGTCCGTATCAACATGTCTACTTCGATGTTCCTCAACGACTTAACAACTCTTTACCCAGCTTGTCAGTCTGAATGTTCCTACCGTGTTCTGTCACTGGTGTGTTTTCCCAGGCGATAAGGCCTATATGAACTGTGATGTCCAGCACATATATTTGTTTTATTCATTCACCATAGGCATAGCTATGGAAGCTTGAATCTGCATTAGTAGTGTATACAACCCTATTAAATGTTCTGAAATTTAGACTCAATTCGTTGCGTGACTACACAAAAAAGTGTCATTATTCTCAAATAAAGTAACGACGAGAGATAAAACTTTTGGCGCGAGAAGGTTATAAGCGATCGAAATTTACAAATGTTTTTCCATCGGTTTGACACCAACTTCATTATGCTATCGGTTTTACAATTGATTTCACAGGCTTGGAGACCTTATTAACCAGTGAACCTTCGTATTATATACTTTTACATTATATATATCTACCTGTCTGCAAAGACTATCTACGTAGATTGTCTTTGCTGTCTGTCTATCCATCTACCTATGCATACATTGCGTCGGCACACGGTGTCTAAATGCAAGACCGATATTTCGATACTGGAAAATTGTCTAAAGCGATTCTGATACATTGATTATAAGTAGATAAAGCGATGCCGATGCCAATATAGATATCGCAGAAATATCATCAATACTCTACTGTAAGAAAATATATCTTGTGACGTCTAAATTATCTCACGGAAACCGATGTAATATACAGATTATCCAGTAATTTCAACAGAAAGGTACAATGATGATTTCTACGCCACAGTAACAGCAGTTATTGTTCAAAAATCTAAAACAAATTACCATGATGCGAGACTTCGTGTAGCCAATTAAAAGTCTACGACATTATATATCTGTATCTGATATATAGTGAATAGTGGAGAGAAAATTTGTTTGAATTTTCGCCTAGCAATTTATTATTTATTTGTCAACCTTCGCATTATATCATTTTAATCTTATCGACCTGGTTTTGTCTATTAATCCTTTTAAAAAGGTTAATCTAACCGCCTTCCTTAACAATAAATGACATAGGCCTATATTTGTCTTTTGTCTTTAAGTGAAAAAATTGATCCGTGTCCCAGCTTATTTTCTGAAACACATGAAACCCCCTGCAGAACAATAAAAAAGAAAAAAAGTTATGGTAAAGAGAAGACAAAGCATATTGCAAGGCATAAATGTGACGTGTCGAATTTTTTCCGATAGATCTGGAGAAAAAATGCCTAAGCGACACCAATAAAACTATACTGCCAATACCTGTACGGAAAAAAAGTTGTGCATGTGCCGGCTAAGCACACGGAAGGCCTATATAAGTATTTATATACTTGTGTACGTGCGTGTGCTCAAGGTCTATATAAGTACTTGACCTTGAGCACACGCACGTACACACACACAACACACACACACACACACCACACACACACACACACACACACACACACACACACACACACACACACACACACACACACACACACACACACACACACACACACGTACATACGTGTTTGTGTGTGGTGTGTGTGTGTGTGTATGTGTGTACATATATACACATTCACGCACAGTATCTATATGTATCAGTGTGTGTGTGTAAGTGCATATGTATATTATGTATGTATGTATATGTAAGTATACACACACACATACACCACATACACACACACACACACACACAACACACACACACCACACACCACACACACACACACACACACACACACACACACACACACAGAAACACCATACACACACATATAATTATATATATATATATATATATATATATAAATGAATATATATATACATACATACACGATAACATACACATAGAAATAGATTATAATATAAGTATATATATATATTGATATAAATTATATATATATATATATATATATTATATTATATTATTATTATATTATATATATAAATACATAATAGTATATATATATTAAGATATATATATATATTATATATATATGAGAGAGTATATATGTAATAGAGATAGAGATAGATATATTATATGAATTGATATATATATGAGTATACGTAGTAATAGTATATATATATGGAATATACACATATATAATATTAATATATAATATATATATATTTATATATATAAAATATATATTGTATGTAAAATATATATATGAATGTATGTATGTATGTATGTATGATATGATATGATATGTATGTATGTATGTATGTATGTATGTATACCTATATTATTATATTATAAAGTGAGGATAGAAATATATATATTTGTATATGGTATGTATATATATATATGTATAATTATATATTTTTTTTATATAGATTATATATAGTATTTATATTATATATATATTATAAAATATAGTATATATATATATATATATATGTTATTATATATATATATATATATGTCATTAATAATATATATATATGTATATATATTAGTATATCAATAGAATATAATATAGATGAGTGTAATATATATGATAATATATATACATATATATGACTATATATGTATATATATATATTATAAAATTATATGTATATATGGATTGTATATGTATGTTGTATTATATATATATATATATATTTCTTTAATGTAAATATGATTATATATATTTTGTATATATATAGATATAAGATATTGAATATATTAGATATATATATATAATATATTTATTCTACATATAATATATATATTATAATGAATATAATAGTTATAAAGTACTTAGTAGTGTATTGGAATATGTAATGATAAATCGCTATAAATATATATATATATACTATATAAGAAATATATATAATAGATATTATATATATATATATATATATTATATATTTATGTATGTATATGTGTTTGTATGTGTGTGTTTGTATTTGCGCGTGTGTGAGTACCCGCGCGAGCCTGTGTTTGTGTTGCTTACAAGTTCTTACATGTCAGTTTGGAAATTATTTACAGCAGCATTCATTACAATTGTTTTTTGTTTAAAGAAGGCTATTTTTTTTAAGAAGAGGCTGATAAATGAGTGTAAAATTTAACGTGAAATCAGCATTTGACATTGCATTCAAAAAGGAATTACGATTATCCATTATACTTATTCCGTACAGCCATTAACTTCTAGATACTCCATGGTCAATATAAAAATAAAGTGATATATTTTAACTATATTTTAAGGATAAGAAATCCAATACTTTGATTTATATATACACATTTTATCTTCCAACCAACGCGAATTAAAGTACATATTTGAATCGCGTTCTTTGGAGGATACAAAGTTTGGCAGTGTTATTGTGAGCAAATAGTCACAATTTTGTACGTGTTTTCCCCTAATTCTCGTTATTTCTTGTTGTTTTGAACCCTTCAAATCCCCAGTAATATAAAGAGTCCACTTATATGTAGTGAGATTTCGGATTATATACGATTTCTTGTGAAATCAAAAGGAGAGGTCCAATCTTCCCACTTTTGATTCATGTTAATCTTGCGAGTAAATGTTTAGAAGACGTGCGTATCCAATAAATAATAAAGGGAGGGATTTTGCCGTAGTAAATTCCATAATCAACGTATTTAACCCCAATAGCAAGGGAGGGTATATAAGATACCAAGGAAATTGCAGGGGAAAGTATGAGAGAGGTGCACCAGGTAGGTCACTGAATTATCAAATGCAGGGGGACTGGACCTTCTGTGATCACCTCTAAGGAAGCTGCTGTCCCGCAACCCCAAGTGTCAACCCCATACTTGAATGAATACAAAAAATAGTCCTGATTGGTAAATCTGCTCTGTGCGCGAAAGAAATTACACGTGCAGCTTCTGTATCATGTGGACATATTTCTAACAAAAGCATTAAAATGGGTTTTTACCTGACTGACATTGAGTGGAATCCACTCTTTGAAGCACAAAATCCTCAATTAAAGAATAATACGGCAAAGAATCAATTTGTTTACCAAAATAATGCAAGTGGATAAGAACATTGTATTTTTGAGACTGATAGTCCTGAAGTTACTCTAAGACCCTACAATCGTGAAGATTCTAGCTTAAGAAAATTGTGCTAAGAACTGATTTGCGTTACACAATTTCTTTAAGCATACGGCCATAAGTCCCAATTACTCTGACCACTCCTAGGGAAGCACGAAAACCTTCCTGAACTCAGGGCTTTTTACTTCCTTATCAGGGACTCTGCCCATGGACCCCTTGCCTGTTTGCTGTGGACAGACTTTTTGCATTGCCTTTGCCTTGACTTATTTTTGAATTTAACTTCTTTATATTAATCTTTTTCAGCATAGACATGCTTTTCCCATTCTATGTCCCATTGTCATTAAATTTTTCATATCTTAGCAAGATCATTATGTAAATGTATACCAAACTATATTACATATTTCATAACTTTATTGTTATCATCTTGTGAAGGAAATACTACAAATGAAATGTCTTACTCTTATTTATTCTAATTAAAGCAAGGTACTATATGGCTCTGTGAAACTGATATTAAGCCATTATTTCTATGCATTTAACAGCTTTATTACAAGCAAGATTTTCCTTGTATATTTGTCCATATTGTGTTCTTTACATATGTTACGTTTTCAGTTTAGATTTTTCTTAATTTCCAGGCCAAAATGATGCGAAAAGCAAATTTAGGGGCTGGGAGTGTTCAGCGCCCTGGAACCCTGAAACCTCGAAATACAGACAGTACCCCAAATAACAGGTGAGTTATGATTATCTTGTAAATGAAAATATAATACTTGAAATTATTTATATTTTAAGAGATTTGACAGTAATTAATGAATTATCTCTATTTTTATATTTAGATATAGAAAGTTAAATGTATATTCTTTGACAAGGTCTAGGCAATACAATGACATGTACTATGAATATTTGATACATTGTATTATGCAAGCTAGCAAAGTAATTCCTATGTTTCAGACGGAGTGCAGGGCAACAGATGAGGAAATCTTACCTTCCCAAAACCTCACAATCAGACAGTGCTAAGAAACTAACCAGTAGAAATAAGCGCATCAGTGCTGAAGGACTCAGCAGACTCTCCATAGCTTCGGGAAGATTTACCCCTACTAGGAACAATACCTCAGCCTCAACCTTGTTGGCTCCTCCCAGTGTCAGCAGGTTAGTTCTTCTGTAGTGCTTTAAGAGTATTGTTTGTATATTTTCTAATAGTAGAACTGTGACTCAGCATTAGAAGATTTATTCAATTTTTTTTTCTTCTTATAGGAAATAGACTGGAAATATTGGTGTTTAACTATTTATTTATCATCAGTTACAACAGGCAAATTTTCATTGTTTCTGTGAAAATGCTCAGGAATGCATAAATCTTTACCAAAAAGTAAAAGTATTCTGTGAAATTTATAAAGATCTATATATTCCCTAAAGAGGCATGTTATTTTAAGAGTAAATGATGAAAAGAAAAGAAAAGAAGTAAAGAAAAAGATATATGTCTATAAAATGTATATTTCTTTGTGATTTTTTTTTGTTTCAGGATATATTTTCACACCTGAAAACTTTTACAACTGCATATTTCAAATGATTAGAATATGGGCCAGTATATCAAGACTTATACAAACTAATGTTTTAAGAGAACAGTCTGGTATCTTATATCCTGAACTTATTCTCACCCATTACACTAACAGACTGTCAACGGATTCGGTGCGCAACTCTAGTATGGGAACAAAAGTGAGGAAGGAGACCCGCCCTATCACAGACTCCAATTTTAAGAGTCAGTGTGTGGACAAAATTCTGGACTTCCTTGTCAGCAGGGGCTATGTATACCAGCTTCAGCGAAGAACGCTCCTCGCGCCTTCCACAAAAGATTTTTCTAACATCTTCAGTGTATGTGTTTTAGACTTATTATTCATTTATGTATTGTTTGATTTTTTTTTTTTTCTTCTTCTTTTTTTCTTTTTCTTTTGTGGATGTTGTGACTTTGAGTTTTCATTTCAGTGCTCTCTATCCACTGATTAGTAAGAAATTAGATATATTGAAAAATACATACAAAAAGAGATTTATTATATTGATATGGATTCTAATATTTTTTTAACATTTATTTTCAGTTTATATACAAGCACCTTGATAGTCAATATAATTTGCCAAACAGATTTGAAGAGGAAATTCCACGCCTATTAAAGTTTTTGAAATATCCAGTGCAGATGTCAAAATCATCCTTCATTACAGGTATGTTGATTTTCTTTTATTTTTCTCTCAAAAGATATATTTATTTATTTTACTTTATCTTTGTTTAGCTAAGTGGAAATCCCGGAAACATATTTCATGTCAAAATAGATGTTTTTGAGGCAGAATTTACTTCAAAACTGATATGATCTTGTTGGTTGGTTTATAGGAACCTCAGTATCATTTTAATAACTGTGTTCAGTCCACTTATTCTGTATCTCATCCTTTTTTTCTATCTTCTGTTTTCTTTCTCATACTCTTCCTTTCCTTTTTCTGGTACTTCTTATACTCCAGATCCCAATTCATTCAGTTCATTTGAATATATGGTTAAAAATTTCATGATAGGAATTTTTATTTTATTTAATTTATAACACTCATCATGGTCTAACACATACAGTTGGATCTCCTCACACATGGCCATCTGTTCTGGCCATGCTGGCATGGTTGGTTGATGTGGTGAACATGTTTAGTGCCATCGACCCGATGCCCATTGCCTTTCCAAGTGATTTTGACAGTGACATCAATCTTGCCAAGACTAAGTTTACCGTACTGGTTGAACTTGCCAACTGCGATGAAGATACAGAAAAGATTGAGGCTCAGTTAGAAGTAAGTGTCTGAATTCATTTGTATGTGTGTGTGTGGAAGTGAATGTGGATGTGTGTGGGTTAGAATTTGGGTGAGTGTGGGTTTATTTGTGAGTAGGGTTTGATCATTTGTTAGAATAGTATGGATGCTCTGCTAATCAAGATATAAGCAGAGTTACTTAGGTTTTGAAATAAAGTTTATATTATTTGCTGAGTAAAAAGTTGTAAATGGTGAAAGATTTCAGTGATTATGTAACAAAGTATTGCTTAAAAAGGTATTAAGATAAAGAGAACTACAGCCTCGTCTGAGTGTAGAAACTCGCTATGGAACCCGCAATCTTCTTCCCAACTTCTGCTATTCTTTCATGTTTTCTTGGTTCTAACCATTTCTTGGAAGGAGTAAATTGCTTCAGAATTCCTCATTTCCAATATTCAAGGGATCTGTGATTTCAGCTTGAAGTTGGCAGTTATGTGTTTTGTTTATGTTTGTCAGTCAAATGAGAATCCATGGTCAGTGCTTTTGTTTTTACTTTTTATTCTTATTTTAGCTTTAATCTAAATGTAAATATTGATGCAGAAACTAAGTATAGATATTTCTGAATAATTTAAAAATGTATAATGATATTTAGGCTTTGATACCATACCATACATACTGTAGTCTCAATTTGTGCAATTTTTCCATTTGTCCATCGATGGACAAGTGGGTATCCATCGCATCAAATGTTTGGGTAAAAATCCAGTTGATTGACTCCATCAATGGGCAAATTCCATTAAAAAATAGCTGGATTTAATGAATCTATGGGTAGTCTGACCGTTCCTTTACCTACTTTTTGGTACCTGCAGGAATACAGGCACATACTAGAGGAAATACAGGGTGTGAGAGCTCAGGATCTTCTGCAAATACAGGAGGAGGATGAAAGAGTTGAAGACATGGTGAACAACATGAGCACAGGACCTGAGAGATTGCAGCAGTTACATCACCAGTACACTCAGGTATCAGTACAATTGATATCAGAATCATGTTAGGATCTTTTTTTAAACTGCATAAAGTGTCATAAGATTCATTAAGCCAAATGATGTATTTTTTATGTGTATATATATTTTTTTTCTTTTTTCTTTCTTATTTTACTTGAAAATGAAGTCATTCATAATGTAAATTCTTTTAACAGCTTGTAGATGACAATGCAAAAATGTCAGATTACTGTAGAGAGCTACAGGTACATATTTCTGCAAGAGATGGTGAACGTTCACAGCTGGAATCAAAAGTGGCAGAGCTTAAAGCGGCTAAAAAGCAGGTATGATATTCTTTTTGTATTGAAGTAAAGTGACATTGATATCTCAGTAAGCAGATGTTAAAAATACTCTGTAAGCAAGTATCAAAAATTCTCAGTAATCAAATACTGAAAATTACCAAATGGTTGTTAATGGTCTTTCCTTATGTTCTGATAGAAGAATATCCTAAAATTTCAGAATTATCAGAAAAGTTATTTTCAGCCAAGTATTTAGAAGCTAAAAGATACAACACTACCCTCACGATTTGAACACATGCTTTCATATTTTTCCAGGTTTTTGACACATCCTCTATTTTCCCAGGTTTTAGAAACTCCTTGCTCATATGTTTTCCCGTTTTTTTTTTACTCTCATGCCTCTATACTTTCCCAGGTATTTGACTCTCATGCATCTATATTTTCCCAGGTTTTGGACACTCATGCTTCTCTATTTTCCCAGGTTTTTGAGGAAGTTGATCGCTTGGAAACTATGAAGGAACAGCAGGCTTTGAACGTAGGGGAATTGGCAAGATTTAAGAACCATGCAAATGATGTCGCTACTATTATATCACAACTCCAAGACCAGGGAAAGGATCAGGACTCTCAGGTAAAGTGTCTCAAGTTTTCTTCTTCTTCTTCTCTCTCATCATCTTCTTTGTCTTCTTCATCCTCTACTTCTTACTTGTTTGTTCTTCTTCTTCCTCTTCTATAAGTGACTATCAATTTAAATTTGTAGTAGGATACCCTTAAGACTGAATCTGTTGATTAGGGTGAGTGATTTTGGATCTTACACCCTTTTCACTATTCCCTCTAGGAGTTCTCGAAGCTCATTCTTTAAAAGAAAAGAAATATCAGAATATTTTAAGGTAACTGCCTGGATGGATGTATTCGTTCCTTTGCTCTTGTGTGAGGTAATGGAATTACCTTTTGAGTCACTCTATGTTTTTAGCTTTCTTACTTTCTTCTGACACTTCTAACTTTTTCACTGTACAGTATTTTAAGTGCAAAAGAAGCTCTTGAATGTAAATGCATGTATGTGTATACATATATATATATATATATTATATATATATATATATATATATATATATATATATATAGGTCAATTTCTGACTTAGGTCATTATAATTTGAGTCTGTTCCCTTCATTGCAAAAATTGGACTCTGGATTTTTTATTAATTGATAGTGAAAATAACATTTACTGTGGAAAATACTTTTTTCAAAACCATGGTGAGTCTACTCACTTTTTTATAAAGAAAAGAATGTTATGCTATGTGGTAAATTTATTTTTACAGCAGAGGTTTCTTAATTGTTTCAGTATTTTTTGTATGGGAGTTGAGAATTATAGCTTTGATGAATATCTTTTATGCATGATATTATTTCCTTTCAGATATGGTCACTAGAGATGGAAGTGGGCAAAGCTCAGTCAAGCTTGTGTGAAAGTATAAGTGCCTATAACAAACTTGTCCGTCAGCTAGACCTTCCAGAGGATTATGAAATCTCATCGACTGACATAGCTGAGAATAAATGCCACTGGCAGACCACATTGCTTGACGAGCTACGACGTAGGAAGAAGGATGCGAAACATGGCATGTACGAGGCCCAGAACCAGCTAATACGAAAGGAGGAGGAATTGAGCATGGCAAGTATTTTCTTAGTGTATGTGGGAATGTCCAGTGCCTTATCCATGGAATACAAATTATGTGTTACATTTTGTGAGGTAAAATCTCATTTGAATATGGCCCAATGAACTTGATCATATTCTTTACAGGTGAATGAGATGCTGTCTGAGAAAAAAGACCAGCTGACAAAGCTCGAGAGTAAGTTACGAAGAACAGAAGAGGAAATTGTAATGACCAAAAATGAAATTACTGCTGAGGTAAGCTATTGATCTGTATTGGTACTCTTTTGGAATCTTTGATTTTAAAGCTTTTGCTTTTTGTTACTAGATAAACTGTGCTAGAATGTATACATTTCACACTAACAGTGATTTTACTGGAAATAGTATGTTACTATCACTTAGACTGAACTACATTTTTGTAGTCATATTTAAATCATGTTCAATTTGATGATTCAGTCCAATACATTACTTGTCAAGAGAAAACAGTATATCCACATGTCCATTTATTCCAAATAAAACTATGCATATAGATAAAAGATGGCAAATTCCTAGATCATTTTTGTGAATATTAAGTTTGGAAAGAATAAACTGTGCTAGCTTTACCTGTATATTACTCCCTGACAGACTCCAACTCCCCAATATAGTGGCATAGCATCAGTTTTCTCCCTGACAGACTCCAATGTTTTCTCCTTCAAATGATAAGTAATCCGTTTTAGCAGAGTTAGATATATGAAAAAATCACAAAATCTGATTAAGATATCCATGCAACATTGAAGCCAAATTGTCTGTGATGAGAGGTAAAAGGTATGAGAGGCAGGTGGCAGGTAATATCATGATAGTCTTCATCACGTGTGTCAAGTAGGAAAGAGTATGTCTTAAGGCTTGACATGCTTTTGTGACACATGTGGGACATTATACAAAGGCCTGAGATTAGTGCCGTGACTCAGAATGTCACAGCTCTTTGAAATGGCGTCTTCAATCTGTTCTTCAATGCTGTTCTTTATTTTCATTAGATTATATGGTCTTCATGCTATTTTACATTTTTTTCTGAAGTGTAAATGGTTGATGATTAGATTAAGTTTTCTGTGAGATAAAGAATAGCAAGATGAATAGAAACCATTTTCTGTATACAGATTGTAATAACTTGTATATAGAAGAATTTTCTTTACTGAAGCTACTGTGAATTACCTGCTTAAAGTCCTGTATCCATGACTTCAGCTTTCCTCTGAGACAAAGTGATGCAAATTATTATCCATACAGTATTACGTAAGGAATTATATACAGATTGTATATGATATCAACCAGATAATATCCCTTTGCACATAGGAGAAGGAGATGCAGGTTGAGAGTGATCGTTTGGACCAGCAAATCCTGGAAGCTCGGAAGACACACAGGGGATCACTTTACCAGAAGCAGTGTGCAGTAGATCAAGCCAAGGAAGAGTAAGTCCTCTCTCTTAGTCTCTGTGTGTTATTCCTAATTTTGAGTTAATTCTTAAAAAAAGAGAGAGAAACAAAGTAAACTCTTGTTGGGTCCTGTCTAATTACCTTCTTCTTTTCTTATTTAGTAAATTTGGTGCACTTTTTTTTCTCGTCTGTATTTCCCTTCTCATCATTCTTATTTTTGAGCTCTTTTGCTTTCCTTTTGTAACTCTTTCCTATTCCTTGTCTTTCACTTTTTGTTTTCTATCTTGTTTAGTTAACCCAGTGCTGCTGGTGATAGCATGCAAGTACATGTTGTACCCACTGTGAGATTATTCATTTTCTTAAACATAGATGGCTCCACTTACAACAATGAACCAATTACCAGTGCTACTTATCTCACCTGTTTACCCTGTTTCTGTATTTTCTTTTATCTTATGTTGCTATTAGTGATGTCAGTAACATTGTAGTGATTATAATGTCTGCAATAATACTAACAGCATTGATACTGATAGCATTAATAAAATGGGAAGGTGAAGTCAAGTAAAGTCATGAGCTCTATTAATCAACTCCTTAGTGGTTAAGCACTTGTGGAGCCATCTGTGTGTAGAGACATTTCACAAGACAATAATAAAGTGATCATTATATTTTCTTGGTGGCACTGGGTTAACTCTATCATTTTCCCTACTTTTTTTCTGTATCTGTTTCCTCTCCTTTTAACTGACCTTCACTTTTTCTCTTCCATACACTTTCATGACGTAAACACTCCTGCCTTTTCAGGTTGGAGAATGTAAAGGTCTCTGGCGTGGAGTGCATGCGTTCTGGTGCAGAGTTCCTAGTCCAGGTGTGCCATGCATCCCTGGAACACTTAGAGTGGCAGCAGAAGGAAACCCTAAAGCACAAGATCACCACGGGAAATGTGACAAGAAAACTTGTGGAACCTATACATACAGAAGTAAAAATATGAAGGAAAGAAGACAAAGAAACAAGAAAAAGCAGATCCTCTATGTATAGAATTCTGTTTTAGTTTTTGATAGCAAGTTGAAATTGGCCTGCTAGGGGAATGCTTCTTGGCTGTGAAAATGTATTTTTAACTTCGATGTCTCTGCCGAGTTTAAACAAGGGTATTGCAAGATATTTTTATGGAATGCCATATATGAAAAGGTGAAGATTTATTTGCTCTATAAAGGATACAAAAGAAAAAGAAAAAAACAATTGTATATATGTCTCATTACTTACCATGACTGAATCCTATATATATTTTTTTAATAGTTTCACCTGATCCATATTATCTGTTGAGGAATTTCATTTCTTTTCTCCTTTTTTCCCCTTATTGGCATTATTTGGAATACAGTTACAGCATCATATAGGAATCTAGGGATATATATGCTATGTTTTTAAAAATGTGGTGAATATCTTTTGGTGAATATAGTGTTATTGGTATTAACATCAGTATAGAATTTTATTTCTTTATTTTTTAATGGCTTTTTGTAGTTTTGGGGATACAGTAGGCTCAGATTTTTAAAAAATTATAGTAAAGTCCACATTTTTTATATAATGGCATATTATCCTTACAAACAAGATATTTTTATGAATAAAAAAAAGAAAAAAAAGAAAAAAATGTATTTTTTTATTGTATGACAAGAGAAAATATATTGCAGTGAAATACATAATGGTATTGGACTCTGGCTATTTATTCCTTCGAAGAGTATGTTATTATTATTTTTTAAAATTGTAAATCTCTGTGGCTTTATGTATGTACTAAGATATGTTTCTTTCATGGTATATCCCCCTTGCCTGCAAATTATAACAATAATGGGTGGTATGAGAGTCGAGCAATATTTTAAACACTGAATGTCAACACCATAAATCTGCGAGAGGAATCACCACAACACAAACTGGCCGTAATCTTGATTCAGGATATATTTTTGTATTTGGAATTTATATTCTAGGGATCAAATTTTATGGCATTTGATGGATATTCTAGGGATTAAATTTTATGGCATTTGATGGTGTTTTAGATAACTGAAGTACTTAAAGAAAAATAAATGAGTCGAGATGTGGCAGTGGCAAGCTACTCTTCAAGGGCTACCTTCTTCATCTTTTTCTCATTTTCTTTTCTTATTCTTTTTATTATTTTAATTTTAAAATTTTCTTTCATTTTCTTCTCTTTTTTTGCTGTTTTCTTCC